GAAGAAGTGATGAAAGTGGATAGGTTTAGCATAATAAATAAAAATCTGCTTCATCGATTAAGATGTGTTTATAGAAACGGTAATTGGGTTAGAATGCCTAGAAGAACCGATTCCCCTCAACCAGAACCAGAACCCCAAACACCAGTCTTTAGGGGTACTCAATCTCCTCTGATCTGTCCTTTTGAGGAAACACATCCATTTGGGCAAGCTCCTGCAACATCTATCGAAGACATTGGAATTCGGATGGACCGATTTGAACAAAGACAAGATCGGCTTGAACTTCGCCAAGATCAAATCCTATCTGAACTACAGCAAATTCATCGACAATTTGACTCTTTATTTAGGCACTTTAATTTTCCACCTCCTGAATAAGCTTGTATATGTGGACACAATAACCTCTTGTTGTAACAATTACGTTGTTTTAAACTCTTTATATTACTCACCTTGATCACAATGCCTTGATGACTACTAATCTTTGATATGGTTACTTGATGTATTAATCGGTGAGAATATGTAGGGTTACGTTGCTCAATCTCGTTACTCATTATCAGATTTCATGTTGAAATTAAATGTTTCTATAATGCGAACTTTGAAAACCTTGTGTCTTGGTTTCCATGATAAATGTGAAAGTAATATAGCCATGAAATTGATGTGTCATTTCCATGATGTTAATGTGACATAATATTACCATGATGTTGATGTATTGCCATGATGTTGATGTGTCGGAATGCATCAACTTGTTAAAATTATTCGGACTTTATTGATTGAATGATCAAATCACTTAATTGCCATTATATGCCTAAAATAACATGTTGGAAATTAATACAAAAATTTCCATAATAATGAGCATGTCTTCATGATTGTATAGTCTTGTCCGATTGCATGAAAGTATTAAATTAAATTTTTAGTTCCAATCGGATTTTATGAATACATTATTCTCTTTCGGACCTTGATTCATATCATCTAGCAAATGCATATCTTTTAGACTTATCATGTGAAAAATATTCCATTTGAAAAATAAATTTGATGATTCCTTTTTATAAAAGGAAGATATTTTTTGTGCAAGGATTTGATTCACATAAATATCATGATCCTTGTAAAGCATGCCTTAATATCCTATCGATTTGAACTACACAAATGGCTTTCCTCCTTCATGCAAAAAAGACAATAACAAATAAAAAGGAAGAAGTTTTCACTCTATGTAAATAAGCTTCATGTCATGTTTTTCTTGAGATGTTTGTATCCTATCACTCTATGTAGATAAATGACATGAACCTACTTATGACATCGCACGTATATTTAAAAGTTGTTTATATTGTTCTCCTTTTTGTTGATGACAAAGGGGGAGAAATATATGAATTGATACTATAAATGTCATATTATGTTGAAAAAAGCAGATATATGAATTGACGCTATGATTGCTAAAATACTTGGAATGTGTGCATTAATGATAACTATATGTCATGTTTGCATCATGTTAAGATATCAAGAACTTGCATCGTAGTCCTACGTGTTGATATCTTACCATGTGATGAAATGCTATGATTGCTAAAAGACTTGAAATATGTGCATCATGTTAAGATATCAAGAATTTGCATCATAGTCCTACGTGTTGATATCTTACCATATGATGAAATGCTATGATTGCTAAAAGACTTGAAATGTGTGCATCATGTTAAGATAACAAAATCTTACTTCGAAATTTTACATGTTGATATCTTACCATATGATGAATTGCTATCATTACCATAATTCACATTTGAAATTTGAAAATGGATGTCCAGTCTTGACATCATATATCATTTTCAAAGAGATACATCATGATGAGAATCATGATGGGAATATTGATAAGGTTAAATTATTTAAACTTATCAATATGTCTCTTGAATTCAAAGGCTTTGAATTCAAGAATGACTTATCTCAAGTATGACATATAGATAGGGGGAGTTAAGGTTAACTCCGTTATCAATTGATTGTCATCATAAAAAAAGGTGAGATTGTTGAATCTCGGATTTTGATGATGATGTCAATTGTCATTTGTTATCTAATCCATATGTTGAGTTAAGTGTGCAGAATTAACTACGATGAAAATAAGACATGCATCAGGAGTTGCGCCGGAGTCAAGACTATGATCACGTTGGGAGTTCGAGAGCTCGACGAAAGTCCGGACGATCGTCGAAGGTTCTGTGGGAACAAATCCGAGAAGTCTAAGAGCTTTCCAAAAGAAGCTCGTCGGAACTCGCCAAGTGGATCGTCGCAAGTCCAGGAGTTTGCCAGAAATTCGTCGGAGCATCGTTGGAGGTTCGTCGGATGTTCGTCGAAAGTTCGTCGGAAGCTCGCTGGAAGAAGCGATTGACGCACCGGAAGCAAGCTGTAGTAAATGTCTTAAGAAATTTGTAGTTAGCACGATGATTAAGTTAGAAATGGGAGGTGATCCCATTAACTTAATCTTAGGGCAATTGGGCCCTTAACAGACCCAAATTGGGCCGAATGGGCCAACCCATTCGGACCCAGATTTCTTGGCCAGAGGTGGCATCGCTTGGGTCGGCGGTGGCACTGCCCATGGCTCAGTCTCCGAGCTCTGGCTGGGCGGTTGCACCGCCTCTGACAGAGGTGCAACCACTCGGTCTCCGAGCTCTGGCTAGGCGATGCAACTGCCCCAATCAAGCGGTGGCACCGCTTGAGCTCGGTCTCCGAGCTCTGGCAGGAGGTGCAACCACCCCTGATTGGAGGTGGCACTGCCCAGAGGTTCAGTCTTCGAGCTCTGCTAGGCGGTGCAACCGCCCCAGTCAGGCGGTGCAACCGCTTGACCCCGAAATTTCAGGAATTGACAGTTTTGAGCTCGGAATTCAAACTGGGTTGGAGCCTATAAATACCCCACCCTTTTAGCAATGAAAGGGCAACAACAACACCGAAATCCTGATCTTATTCTGTGATTTTTAGAGCTCAAAAGCGTTGTAAAGTCTAGAAGTTCTCCTCCCTCTTTTCTTCCAAGTTATGATCTTTCAAGAGAGGAGAGAAAATTCTGTAAGGGTTGTCTCCTAAGCCCGTCAAAAGGAGTGAAACTGTAAAAATGTGGTTGGCCTTCGCCTATTGAAGGAAAGCCTCTAGTGGACGTCGATGACCTCGTCGATGGAGGAAGCCAGAAGTGGATGTAGGTCAAGATTGACCGAACCACTCTAAAATCGCGGTGCTCTCTGGTTTGCATTTACTTTGAGCATATTATCTTTACTGCAAACCTCCTCAATAGCTTACTGCCTTCTGCGCTTTTACGATCGTATTTCAAAGTTCAATATTTTCCGAATCGGTGTTTAGACGTAAATCAGTTTTATCGTACGAACATCATATTTCAGTTTGCGCTTACATTCTGATTTCCATCATAACTGCAAACTGCCTTTATAGATTAATTTTAACTGCATCTTGCTTGATCACAAGTTAAATTGATTTACGAATCAGCTTTTCTTCTGAAATCGCTCTTATCGTACGAACGCAGTTTTAATCGTCGAAAGTTTTTCACTGCACTAATTCACCCCCCCTCTTAGTGCTCTTGATCCTAACACAATTTACCTTAGAAAGGCCTCCACCATGAAAACAAAGATGCTCGTCCTTTATTACTAATTTTAGCCATCGAATTTGAAGGAGTATGTCATAAGGAATCAAATTAAATTAGTTAAACTCAATCTTCTCCCTCATAGATCACTTTTTACCTTTTATTATTATTGTTGGTGTAAACAACTTCAAGCCGTGGCCTCGGGGCCGTCGCGGCTTGGTTCGGGTTCGGATGATAGGGGATCTCCCTGGGATGTTTTCCGAGATTGCTGAGGCAGTCGATTGCGTTGGTCCGATCGGGACGGGCTCGTCGTTTCCACCGGGAGAGGACCCCCCGCCTGCGCTTTTAGTGGACGACCTCCGCCTTCGCACCTGCACAAAGGTCAGGTCGGGGAGCTCGACCCGACCCCTCCGACGATCAAGTTAGTGGATAGTCGTAGGGGGTTTCTTTAGCTAAGTTCTGTATGTTCCTCTCCTCATCTCTCCCCTTGGAGCGCGAGGGTTTTTATAGTAAGAATTACCGTTGCCTGATGTGCTGGCCTATAGGGAGCAGGACCGTACTTCTGGTAGCGTTTGACGTTGCCGTTGGCGTGGCGTGAGGGATCGAACCTGAACAGGACGTTAAAGCGCCTTGGTAGGCGTTTCGGTCCACGTTGACCAAGTGCCTCATCAAGTCAACAGAGGCGTGATGCGTCATCTGGTACAACTGATATCACGTGAGTCTTATCGTAATTATTACCCTCATCAATAATAATAATAATAATAATTATTATTATTATTATTATTTTACTCATCCATATGTCACTTTATCAATTGAGGAGAAAGAACGATCAATTCAAAAAAATTAAAATTAATAATTTAAATACGAAGAGAGAATTGAGATTAATAAAAAAATCTACATTAATTTCTCAATTGAGAATGTCATCCGATATATATAAAAAAACTAATTATGGAAGATTTTTTCGATAAATTGCAGAAGATTGAACAGAAGGAACATAATTAATGAGGCGATGCATGCATGTCATTGTCAGGCATCTCAATCGCCTTCACCGACCTGCGTGAGGATAATAAAAGCCTTTCCACAATGTCCATGATGTGGACTCGAATGGACTCCCGCGAATCAATTCCATTTATTCGCATCAAACGCCACCTTTCTCATCCCTCTTTGGGTTGTCAGAATTCGAGTTGGGATTTAAGTAGAGTCCGGCTCACCTGTCTCGGACTCACCACCCACCAGGGAATTTAAGAGGGTGGACGAGTGGCCAATGAGAAGCCGAGGGCGAAAGCCTGTGGAGACTTTCCCTGTACCCTGAATCCGTCGACGCAGGAAATCCTACCCTCCGCACGCTACGAGGTTGGTACAGTGGACGGTCTATTTTTTATTCATCAATTTTCGTACGCCCTGCGGCATTATAATGTTATCATAAGGCTTTATTGTTTCCGCCACTTCTCGCTCTTGTTTCGCTTCTTTCCCGATCTTTCGGCCACCCCCTTCTTAGGGCGTAAGCAACGAAAGGAAAGAAGATCCAAGCCTCGCCTATCTCTGCGGTTCCCCGGTCGCCCGATCCGCGTCCAAGGTGCCATTCGATGTTCAAACCCATGCTTTCTCTTTTGATCCGACCCGTCCTCGATCTCATCGGCTATTTCTCTGTTATCTTTCGATCTTCGCATTCTGTATTGGGTTCGACCGTTGTTCTTGCTTCCTGCGGTGCCTGCTTTTGTAGGGATTGCGCAAGAGCTGTCAGCTTGGTTAATCACCTTTTCAAAATGTCATCTTGTTTCGAGTTTCTGGATTGTTTTATTATTGATGCGATCTGGTATATAGGTTGAATCTTTTCTGTGCTAAATGGCAGATGGGATACATCGGCCACCATGGGGTGGCGACGTTGCACAAGTACAAGTACAGCGGCGTGGACCACTCGCTAGTCGCTAAGTACATCTTGCAGCCGTTCTGGAGCCGCAGCGTCACGCTTTTCCCTCTTTGGATGCCGTATGTTCTCTTCGCCAACTCTAATTAGTTCTCTCGGGCTGCTGCTCATTTTATTTATATGCATATACCTTAACTGGTCTGTGAGTGTTCCTCGGTTAGTATATCAAGAACTATGCATGTTTTCGTTGTATCTTTTGGAATTGTGTTGTCCATCGGATGTGTTAGGAGTTGTTATTGGATCGAACAGAAGTTTCCCTCTTTTGTGATGTGATGCCATCGCCATCAAGGTACCATTTTAAGTCTGCTTTACACCTTTAGTAACCTTGGGCCTGTCTTGCTAAACTTTATTTGCTTGGTAAGTTTTTATATCTTAAATACAAAATCCAGCAAGATAGATGCACTTTGTTGTGATATTCTGATGAAACCTCGTCTCTAGATGCCTTGGTTCGTTGGATATTATTCGATATTTTGTTCTATTACTGTTTGAATAGCAACTCCATCTTACTAGAACATTGGGTTAAAATATAAGCAACTAACTAAACAGCAGTAGCATGTGGAATGGATATTACTGGAAAAGAGCCAAAACCTGTGCATGCTTTGCAATAATATTCATATTGTTCAAACATATAGCAGAATATCGTCCAGTAGAGGTTGTTTCTCTTAGTTTAAAGGATGGCATGCATCTTACTAGATTATTGTACATTTCTTGCTAACTCACAAGTGACACATGTTATTGCATCGTTGCAATTGTTATGCATCTTTTCTAGGATACCACTGACACATTTTCTTTTATTTTTACCTTTGCATGTTGATATGCATTTCCAGACCAAACATGGTAAGAAGACAGTACTCTGCTTCTTTTGTCACCTTCTTTGTGATCGTCTCATCATTGTCTAAGGGCTGCAATGCTGGTGCTTGTTCTGCAGATCACTCTTACAGGATTTATGTTTCTGATGGTATCCGCATATCTTGGCTATGTAAGTAGTTGTATTGTAACTTGCCTCGGATTTTTCTGTGCTTTATGTTCCTTGAATCTTTTAGCTTCCACCAGCTGTTCTTATTCTTGTTCGACTTTGCTATGAGATATTGCCCTCAGTGGAATCTAGTAATCTAAACCCTGATATGTGATGTTGCAATGAAGAAATCAGGGTATGAACCGGTTACAACAGTACAAAGTTTAAAGGTTTTTCTTTTTCTTATAGATACTGAATACCTAATTGGAATTTAAGTCGCTTTACTACTTGCTCGACACAGGACTGAGGTTCAAAACACACCAACGAGTTCACGTTCACAGATAGACTGTTTACTACGTGTTATTTGCAAAAGATTAAGATGATGGTCGTTTTGACAAGTTCAGATGTTTCATGAGTTGGAAAGAAACTAGAGAAATGACACATTGATTAGACCTGGAAAATCTTAGCATTTTGGCTCAGTTCATTTCATTTTAGTTTGTTTTGCTTCTGAAAGTTCACACTTGCTTCGTGAAATTTTGCAAATTTAGTTAATTGGATCAATGGTGTCCACAACACTCAGATCAAAATTCAGTCATGTTCATGTGTCATGTGAACACAGAAGAAAACTTAACGTATTATAGTACTCTTGTCAGATGCTAAGACGATAAGTGTTTCTTTCTTTGCCATTCAACAAGACTGTTGAACTTCGGTATGTTGTGTAATAAAAGTTGTGATCGATTTAGCATAACAAGTTTTCTGAAAAATGAGGTTGTTAATTGGACTATTCATTATCTCGTTACGTACTTCGGCAGACAGCAAAAGTTTGGATTTATATTGTTATTAAGATTTTCCATATGGAACTTCCGAGTGCTGATTTTGCATCTCATTTCTTATATTACTAGTTTGTCGATTGGTTTACCTTGCTGAGTAGAGAGAGTAGTTTTTCATTTGGGGATTCTAATTGGTTTCTTCTTAAATCTGTTCATCTTTATCACTGATGACATTTGGCTTTGTGCATTATCTGGTAGCTGCACTGTATATAGCCATTTATTGCTTACTAGCATCCGATTCTGTTGTCCACAGAAACATGCTTCAATATTGAATTATGCTATATGTTTTGCTTGTAACACATGCTCTGGATGTTAACATAGATCTTTTGCCTTATTCAGCTTACACATCGTTTATGATTGTTTGTAGATCAATATCTTTTCCTTTTAAATTTTGCATCTTTTACATGTTTGTGTCTATTCTTCACAGGTATATTCGCCCCATCTTGATACAGCTCCACCAAGATGGGTCCACCTTGCTCATGGATTGCTTCTCTTTTTATACCAGGTTTGTTCAAGAATTTCTCAACCTTTTTCTAAAATGTGTATGTATTTCTCGAATTCTGCTATTGCTTAGTAGAAAATAAGAAATGCCAGTTAATAAGCTGTTTTGAAGTATTTGGTCTTCAAATTTTACTGATGATTCGATGAGTAGAATTGGATTAAAATGTTAGTGTGCCGAAATGTTTAACATACTCATCCTTGAATTCAACATATATGAATATGAATTTCTTTTTTTTCCTTTTATATGAGACGTCTTTCATATGAGACACATTGCATTAGGTGTGCCAGAGCAACCAAGCGAAAAAAATGGGGATGATTGAAAGTAGAATTATAATTGAGAAAAAAGATGGATTTCTGTGACATCTCCATTGTATTCATCCAGAAACTATCCCATGGTCACATACGTTACATTTGGCTGGCTTGGTTCACCAATTTGCTTGATGGTTCGGCCCAAAAAATTGGATACAAGTTGGTTCCAAAAAACTGGTTGAGAATTTTCTATACTGGGCCTTGGGAAGGTTGAAAATTCAGATCTTTCGTGGAGTTTTCTCACTTTGATAATTGGAGGATTTCTTTTTCTTCTTTTACGAATGTTTCTTTTTCTGTGTTGTATCTTCATTTTGTATTGGATGTTGAATTTGTATGTGCCTGTACCCTTTATCTTGGGAAGGTTGTCACCTTTGATTGCACTTTTGGTTTTTTGAGATTTGTATAACTTGACAATCATGAAGCTCCAGATATTGCCATATTGCTCATTGCAAAATGACTAATATATGTTTTTGAACTTTTCAATGTTGGAATGGTTTGCCACTTGATTGTACAGTCAATTAATAAATTAAGCACTTCTAAAAAATAATTGGTGGTAAAAGAAAAATTAAGCTTATCAGGTGCAGGTTTCCAACCCTTTCTCAGTTGATGCCAATTTGTTGGCCATCAGTAACTCATGAAAGGGGCCTGCAGTGAGAACTAAAATGCCACTTCAGGTATATAGGACTTTTATTATCAAAATATCTGCAATTAACATGCTTCAGTGAATTGTGAAACCCACTGTCTATGGTTGTCTGCAATAGTCATTTTTCAACTAGTGCCAATGGTCTTTTTTGGTTTCTGTCTGTTCATATGCATTGGTTATAATGGAAACTTGACGACGGTTCGCTGTACCGTATCGTACCGGCATTTCGACCCGGGCTCGGTATGGTATGGTACCGGTGTACCGGGCTGTACATCACCGGGCTGTACATCAGGACGTACCGAATATTTTTTTATTTTTTCACACTGTAGCAGTGCTACAGTATAATACTGTAGCACTGTAGCGGTACCGGGCAGTCTGCGTACCGATAATCTGTCGGACCGGTACGTACCGCCTGGTACGGGCGGTATGCTTCGGTACGGCAGACCTTGCTTGACGTCATATAGTATAAACAAGTTAGGTGAAAATTTTACATCTATAGGCAAATCTCTTTCTTAAAATAATAACTTACTTGATTTAACTAATGCCTCCTGTTTCAATGATGTGTTCTCCAGACTTTTGATGCTGTTGATGGTAAACAAGCTAGGCGTACGAATTCATCCAGTCCTTTGGGGGAACTTTTCGATCATGGTAATTTTTTTTTCTTAAGAAGCTACCTTTGTCCTTGTTTATAAGTTATACTCATCTCCTGATACCTGAGACTCTGTGATCACAGGATGCGATGCGCTTGCATGTGCTGTATGTCCACTCATCTTGTCCCCTTTTATTGCCTTGTTTTCCTGATACTTTGTTGTTACTTATGATATTGGTTTCCTACTTTTAATCAGTTCGAAGCCATGGCCTTTGGGAGCACTGCACTGTGTGGTAGGAACACTTTTTGGTTTTGGGTAATTGCAGCAATTCCATTTTACCTTGCAACGTGGGAACAGTAAGTTCTTCAAAGGTTCTCATATTCGTCATTGGACTTTAACTATTTCCTTTTGCTTTATATAATAAGTAAGCTTTTATATAGTACATTTGAGAAAAAAGGCTTCTAACTTGATCCCCATCTGGATTCTTGTCATGTTTTTCCACGGTCAATTATTCCTATGGTGGGAGCATGCCTTAGAAAGCGGATCTAGATGTTGTTGCCAATGTTTTTCCCACCCTCCTTTTTCTAGTACTTTCTGGGGCAGCTCATCATTTGATTCTCTATGCTTCTATTTACGGAAGGCTTTACCATGATATAGCAGTCATATTGAATGATGCATACCAGTCTGGTTATGGACTGCCAGGTTTTTAAGAGTATCGCTTAATATTAGTTGATTGATATAAACTATGGAGATTTTGGTCCGAACTTTATTAATATATCAACTAGTTTCAGTTGAAAACTGTGGTTCCTGGCTCTATAATGCATTGGACTGGTTCAAAGATTGGCTGATCCCTGCTCAATAATTTAAAACCTGAGATAAGTAATCTTGTATCCCTAATTATTTGACCTTCCTTGTCTCAAGCTCGATGTGACAGCTGAAAAAAGCAGATGAATAGTAAGAGAAGGCTGGTGGCAAATTTTAAACAATTAATGGAAAAAAAGGAAGCACAATAAGAAAAGGAAGAGGAAAATCACTATATTTTCTAACCATTTTCCCTCTTCAACCTGTTTCTAACAGCAGCCAGTATCATTCACCATAGAGAGAATACCAGCTTTGAATGTTTGTAACTTGTAGATCAGGTATATAGGGGACCGATTTATCTGTTCTAATAAGTTACTGTTGGTCTTCGCTGACCATATTTAAACTAAAAGTTTTAATTCTTTATTTCTAACTACTTTTTGGAATGTTGTTCCCCATAACTGTTGATATTTTCTTCTATTCTTTACTGGAACAATAGTTTAATAGGTTTAACTTTGGTAGTTCTATTTGCATTTATTAACACTTCTTGTAACTTTTCCAGCTTCTTTACCAATACACTTATTCTTCCAATAATTAATGGACCTACAGAAGGCCTCATGCTAATCTATGTTTGTCACTGGCTGACATTCTTTTTGGGTATGTGAACTTTGAGTTCCTTTTACATATAATTGAAAGAAATGATTTTTCTTTTTTCCTTTTTTCAGTTTATTGTCAAATATTTTTAATATGGTGTACATCTTTCTTTCTCTAAAGACTCTAAACTGATGTGTTTTTTGTGTTCTTTATCCAGGAGCTGAATGGTGGGCACAGGATTTCAGGAAGTCAATCCCATTTTTAGGTTGGGTGCCATTAATTCCTGGTAATGTAGTTTGACACTAAGACTTCTTAAAAGCTGTTGTTTTTGGCATTTTGATAACAAAATGCCATGCCTTGAATCCTGCAGTTTATAAACTGACATTGCTACTGTTGAACAATTGAGTTTATGGTTCTACTGCCATTTGGATACATCTTTCTATTTCTAGTTACCGTAATGCTTCATTGACTATTGTACATGTAATGGACCCTGTTGAGTTACTTCGAAGTTTTACTCCAGTTCTTTTCATTACTGAGTTTGTATAGACTGGAACAAAGGTTTAGGTACACTGAATAATGATGCATTAAAGCAAAGATTGAGAATTGGATGGAGGAATAAATAAATGGCTTTTCATGAAAGGACCTATAGTTTCAGCAATCAATCAATAAAATTTGATTGTCATAGCTGAGGCTAAGGCTTTGCAGTAGCTGTGCTAAACTAATGTGATATAAACCAGAGTTAATCATCTCTCAGCTAATATTTGTGATAAATCATTTGAATTCAGCGATTATCCCATGATCACATAGATTGAGGATAAGACAAATGTATAATAGGTCTAGTCAGTTATACTTAAAATGACTGTTAAATAGGAATCGGTAACAAGAATAACTATAGTATCTAATGAAAAAAATGTCAGTGTCGGAAATTAGAGACAAACTGATATACAATCTGAGAGAACAAGACCTTTGTTTCTTCCTGTCTCCAGTTCTGTTCCATGTTTTCCATTTTTTTGTTAATTAATGCTGAGGCCTACTTGCTCCTTTTTGAGTCTTTGTAGTAGGATATCTGCGCATACAATTTAGTCATTTGAAGATTCAACCACCAAATATTTCAACCTTCAATCAATTGAAGACTATGGCTGAAACAAAAATAAGCTACCATTGGGAAATATTCCCAACTATTCGGTATCCTTTGTGTTTGCAGCATTAGACACCTATAGAATGAACAACCATCAATAAGAGCAGGATGCTTTAGATTTGTCAACACCACCTTACTATTGGAAGACGGGTAGAGCATGTGCTATCTTTAACATCTATTGATGTTTGCGAGCAGTTTGATGAGAAAAGGGTAATAAGGTTGAGATAGGAAACTCAATCTATCTCTTTATTCTAAGCATCTTAGTCTTTAATATCCACTTCATTCTTTTTTTCCAATCAATTCAGTCAATTTTTGGTGCTTTATGTATATATCATGGTATGCAGAATTGCCCAGTGTGAATTAATATTTTTCCGTTATTTATTGATTTTACCAGAGATCCCAGTATATAGTGTTGTGCTATTTATGATGATTGCTTTTGGTGTGATTCCAACTATTGCTTCCAAGTAAGTTTTCTTTTTATCATTCCTTTCTCAGTTTTTCAGTCTGAGTTTTCTGGTTGTAGCTGAGTTTAGTTGCATGTACAAAAGCAGACTTAATTTAGGGTCTGTATTAAGGCTGATTTTAGCTGTTTGTGTGGTTTCTTGAGGTCTCTTAATTGAATCAGCTTATTCGTTTTACAGAAAATAATGCAGACAGGAACAGTTGCTTAACCTTCTATTTTTTTAATCTAAATAAGAATCTAAATATGATAAGAAAACTCTTTTTTTTTTCCTCTTCTTTTTTGTCCTTTTGTTTTTATTGTTGACAAAACCTACAGTCCATCAGATAATAACAGATCCTGTGTTGGAGATGAGCTTTCGGGCCTGTATGGGCCACTAACCTGGTGTCTTGAGAATTCTGGTGAAATAGCCCAATCCTAGAGTCCTGAATTGTGTCCTGAGCTGCAGCAGTTATCTGAGACCCTATGTCACAGTTGAATAGCACCATAAGTGAGATGTAAATTCGTGAAACAATAAAAGATATCTGCATTGTAATTTACCAAAAAGAAATGGTAAATTACTGGCTTGCGGCTGGGGTGTAATTTACCAAAAAGAAATGAAACAATAAATGTTTGCATTCATGAACATTAAGGTAGTTTAGATGGATTGAGGAAAATCTGTTTTAGATTCTTTGAACATGTCTAAAGGTGAATTTTAATTTAAATGCATCTGTAAGACAAGATGAGCCAATTTGGACCAGAGGTATAGGAGAGGTGGAGGAAGAGAGATACACTGATCTGTAAAACAAGATAAATCAATTTTCATTAGTGGTGTGAGGACAAAGCTTCATAAAACAATATAAGTATATATATGATGACTCTTAATTTCACTAGTAATATTGTCTTCAGCATAGCTCAAATGCCAAAAATGATTAACATGTAGCTGGTCCTATATAGTTGGTGGTTTTGAAATCTTTTGGTTATCTGCTTGTATTTTCAATAGATAAATCTACTGAAAGAACTGTTTCTCAATTCTTTTATCTTTTTTCATGCTCCTTATTCCATACTTGGTGGAGGCCTTTTCTCTTCCAGTACCCCTCAAAATATTTTGCTAATATGATGTATTCTTGTGAATTTAAAATAAGCTGCTTTTGTACCTTGTGCTAATATGATGTATCCTTACTCCAAAGATTCTGCTTTTGTGGCCTCTTGTGCTGTTTAACGGCTGTAACATTAATAATATGCCTCATTTGCAGCATCAGCAATGTCCACAAGGTTGTCAAAGCGAGAAGAGGAAGCATGATATTGGCATTAGCAATGGTAAGTCATATAATGTCAAATCTACATATATGTTGCAAGATTTCTCAAAACGAACATTCTCATTTTTGCAGCTATTTCCTTTTGGCGTGCTTTTGGCTGGAGTTCTTATCTGGTTTGTGTATAAAAATAATTGCTTGCACACTTTGTTTTCATGATGTAGTAGTTGACTTGAAAAGAACATTTTTGTAAAGTATCATTCTATCGTTGCAGGTCATATCTATCTCCTTCAGACATTATGCACAGTCACCCTCATTTGCTTATAATTGGAACTGGATTTGCATTTGGGTTTCTTGTTGTAAGCTCGCTAACCTTTTGCATACTCTAGAAGTGTCTTGTATTTTTGTTTCTGTACAAATATCAATAGATTATGAGCAGTTCGTTAATTATCTTTTATGATATTTATAAGTTCTATATTAGAGTTTTGTTTAATCAGTCATTTTCTTTGTGACCCCTTTCTGATGAGTTCACATGGATGCTTGATTATCTCAGTCAAGCTTTTGTTGGTCGCTCTTTTTCTTAAAAGAAAATTAGATATATAATCTTTATTGCTTCTGAAATTTCCTAGAGAAAAAAGTTTCACAGTAGGATTAGGTTCTTCTCCGAGCTGATTGCAACCTTTTTATGTTGATTCATGTGAGCTTTGGATCTTACTTTCTGATTGTATTCTTTCTTTGTCCATACGAATATGTCAAAAAAATATCATGTGTGCATCTATTCTGTGTAGTCTATTCTTAACAACATGGCTATGGTGAGTCATTTACTTGGTTCATTTATTGAAAAGCAGAACAACTATCAAAGCGGCATGCTTCTAGTTACTTTTTGCTTCATTTATCTATTCTCAACTTATCTTCAGAATAGTGATTACCAGGGTTTGTCTCTTTTTCTTCTTGAGGGAAGTGGCAATTGAGTGAAAACATCTTTTTCCTTGTTGGAACTTGTATTGTTAGTTTCTTTTTTTGGTTATTGTATTTAATTGGAGAAATGAGGATGATAGTTAGTCTTGTGTATTGCATGCAAATGAGATGACCAGTGTGCTTCAATTCTACAGGTGCAAATGTGTATATTCAGTTTCTTGTATGCCTGTCCTACTCAATGCAGAAGATTCAAGATAATTGGTGATTTTTTTGGCATTTAGTTGCCATGGTCAATCAGTCATTAGGGAGAACCTCATCATGGTAAAAGATGGAAATGTGTGTTTCTAATGTGTCATTGGAGGACTATAGTTTAACAAGGGTACCTCGTGTTGACTGGTTGTTGGCACGATACCTTGTCAAGCAGTGGTGCACTTTCTGGCACTATGGCAAAAGAAAAACAAAGGAAACAAATATGAGATGAAGAGGGCAAGAAACAGAATGGTTAGCTTTAGCAACATGATGGAAATAATTTACACAAATGTTGAAGTCTTTTTTTTTTATTAGGTGAAATTTCTATATGAATATAGAATTTGCAACAGGAAACAACATGGAACCATTTCATGACACAACATTTTCCATTTTATAATAAAGTGATTTCTCTAGTGGTGCAACTGGTCGAGATAGTATTGTTATTTTCCCTTGAACCATCATATCTACTGCTCAATGCAAAGTGTTAGGACAATACAATTTCGATACAGATGCATCTCCACCATTTCTTTTTTCTATGTTAGTATAATTTGTGCTGTAGAAATTCTTGTTCATGTTTTAAATGGTTCTTGACTTGTGTCTTATACAGACTTCCATGAATTTTGCAATTTTTTTCCTCTGCAATTTCTGGTATCGCAAAGCTTTGCTCCTGTTTGTATTTAAAGCATGAAGTTCTAATAAATTCTTTGACAGGGAAGGATGATTCTCGCGCACCTCTGCGATGAACCCAAGGGTTTAAAAACTGGGATGTGCATGGTATTTATCTTACATGTGAATCAATGTTGCTGCATCTTAGCTATCATTTTGGTCTTCATTTTCCTGTTTCATATATCATGCACCTCATTTCTTCTATGATCGTTGTAATTCTGATAACAATTCCTGGAACTGTACTTAACTATCTGCAAGTATATTTTTTTTAAAACTTATTTGCATGTGCTTGGAAAATATCATGGAAATATTAACATGGTATGTCTCTTTCAACAGTCTCTATTGTTTCTTCCCCTTGCCATTGCAAATGCTCTCACTGCCAGACTTAATGATGGGTATGTTTATCCTTGAGAAAATTTAAATTTTGAACATTCATTTGCTTGATGTTAGAAACAGCCAAATAGTTTCCTTCTGGCCTGTGATTATCATTCTGTCTTGTCTTTTGCTGCAGAGTTCCTCTTATTGATGAGTGTCTAATTCTCATTCTGTATTGTCTATTCACAGGTAATTTGGTTTGTGTTTTTCTTACTTGTTAATGACTTTTATAGAGTTGAGCAGCTGTTCATCTTCTCCTTGCTTCCTGCTTTGTTTCTTGGTTTATGAAGAAAAATGAAAAACTTCTTTTTTGCTGTGCTATTGAATATGTTTGTCTTCCATCAAGTGATGAGCATGTAATAACTGGGGTCTCTACTGTTACCGGTTACATATATGACTTTTTGTCTCATGTTCAGTTAATATTTTCAGATGTCGTAAATTGGTGCTATTTAATTCTTCTGATTATTCAGCCTCATGCATTTCTTTTTTGAACAGTGTTGCTTTATCTGCATTTTGCAACATCCGTCATCCATGAGATCACAAATGCACTGGGCATTTACTGCTTCAGGTTTGATACACTTCCCTCTTGATGATACTTGTGCATTAATAGTTCTCAAAACAGACTTTTCATTGTGTATCATTGGACAACAGGATAACCAGGAAAGAAGCTTAAACAATTTCTCACATGCTGTTTGGGGTACATGTTCAACGTATTCGACAATGTTTTATTTTACATAATTTACATCATGATATTTCCCTTCTCACGTTTCATCTTCTTTGCTGGGATTTTAGGTGAAAGCAAAGCAACATGATTAGGTACAATTCAAAAAACACTATCACTGTTATCAAGTTTGCCAACAGAACATGGAGTTTATCAGATGATGATCACCAGCAATTGCACGCTCATCAATCAATCGAGAATGCGGATGTTATTCTGACAACATTTGGAGTAGGAAAACAGAAATATTGAAAGGGCAAAGAGATCTGATGCAGATGCAAAGCAAGATTTTTTGGTCAATGATGCCTTGCTGTACTTAAAGAATACATGGATCGAGTTTCTTGCTGATTGAACACAGATTGATGTGGCCCTATTGTTAAGGATTTGGTGTGAGAAGTTTTGTTGGTTAAAGTTGAAATCTGGTCAAAATGGGCAATGTTGTTTACTTTGGCAGACATGTTATTTTTCCAGTGGAATTTTGACCATCTGAACTTATGCTGAATGGTGAATTGGTCGACAGCAGGCTTTGTTTGGGTATATTTCTTGTTTTCTAGAACTGGTAAAAAAAATATTCTATCAGAATTTTGATAGTCGTAACAAAATGTTTTTTTTTTCGGAATTTTGAACACTATCTTTAATGTCAAAAAACTATTGTCGGATTCTATAAGTTCCCTAATGTTCTGAAAGCATGGCTTGTGGGTCCCACACAAAATCAAAGCTCATCGAGAGAACACATCACCCCGGCAAGCTTCACGGGCGATCCGGTCGTGGACGATTGCGAACACTTCCACGTATGCGTAGTTCGACTTCGTCCTGTGCGGGTTGAGAGCACGGACCGGCGTCATTCGATCTCGTTTTGGTCACAGAAAGCGGGAGCGGAAAGAAAGAGGGGATGATCCAGAGACTAGCCTGTTACGACGACGAAGGTACTATCTATCCCCTCTTCTCCATGCTTTCCGCGTTTCTTCCTTGTCCTGCATCGATCTTGATTCCGTAACCTATATGACGATAAATGCCATCAACATCGGTCCTTTCTCGAGAAAACGAAGAGGAGAGTGCCCAATTAAAACTCGAATTGGGAGGAACGGGAGAGGGGCATCTGCGGCGGAATCGAGATCGAGGAGCACTTGCTTCGGGCGAAAGCTAGGGTTTTTGGAGGCCGAGCAGAGGAATGGGGGGCGGAGTCTTCTCGGAGACCGGAGCGACGCCGTCACGACCCCGCCAAAGCCTGGAGAATATATCGGAGCCGATATTGGATGATTATAACGCTCGGACGGTTATATCGGTTATATTATCAACCCTTTATTGAATTTTAGGAGTAAAATGCTGATAATTACGTGAACACAATTAATTCAATTTAACGGACCATAAAATTGATCATTGGCCAAAAAAGACATACAATAACAAGTACTAATCGTTTTAAGCAATTTGGACCAGTTTGATAGGATCAGAGTCCGGATCGGATAAAGATGTTATCAATTATTCCATTTCATGAAAAAACCACGCAATAACTTTATATGAATATTTTTATATTATATCACATATAATTAAAGATATATGAGTAAATGTTGTATGTATTCTCAATATTTTTTCCCGTCGATTTTTTGTATCGATTATGACATTATCTTTCTTATCATTAGCACCAGTTTATTATATTCGGAAAAAATGATTATTTAAATAGTGATGAAGCTGATTGGTCATAATTCTTATTTTTTTAATCAAGGAATTAAATCTCACATTCCATCTCGGAACAATTCCTCTCAATTCCGTCTAATATATCAATCAGCTATAATATAAAAAAAAAATATAAAAAATAATTAAAATGTTAATGATATGCCTCAATATAATATGACTAAAATATGAGTATTGCGTGTTGGTAATCGATTGGACAGCTATAAAACATTGTAGACCTCATGATAATTATATCCATGATTCTTATAATGTCACAACTACCATCATCACGACAGTTGGCTTTCATACTATGTAACGATTTCAAACAACATTATATATATTATATATTATATTATAGCAAACATCAAACTTTTTATTATGATTGAGAAAATAGTATGATGTTAGAAGAGAGAAAAATGGCTTGGTGGAATGAGCCAAGATGGCTGGAGCAGATGAGTAGAGGTGTTACAAGTAGAGTCACATCAGGGGAGCCACATAAAGATGAACACAGCAACACAGTCAGATAAAGTTCATTTCACATCTCCTCCCCTGTGGTAGTAGCACTCCCATCTTCTTGCGGAAGTGGGCATGTCCTTGTTTGGGATGCTTCAGTTCTTGCAGAGGCAGTCACTGTGTGCATGAGAGCATCCATGGAAGCTTTTGAGTGCTGTGTGTGTCTGACTGAGAGATCTTGTTGTTGGGTTGAACTTTGACTGCACAGACAGAAACATCCAAGTGGATGAGTCCAAAAGGTCTTTGTGATAGCATCCATCTGTGTTGCTTCCACCCTGTTTTAGTCTGCAGTGATTGATTGATACATGGTCTTTTATGAAGCATTGGAACTGGACAACTGCGAGACTGATGTCAAGAAATCACATGAAAGATGAAGCTTCGCTTCAAATTTTGTTATATTTTTTAACCTCAAATGAAGCCGGTCAAAGAAAGAAAAATGTTTGACTGATCAAATTCTTACAAATCAATTTGGATCTTTATAAGATTAAATTTGAGGGTATTAAGTTCAAAATTAGGTCAACTTTGATAAGAGACTTGTTAAGCAGTCTAAGGTTTTTAAGTTCGAATAAATTATGATTTACCATATACACCAAGTGTTACGAAAATTATTTGATTGGATTATAAGATATTTGAAAAAGTATAAATCTTAGATGGTGTCTCACATATCGATTTAAATTTTTGGATACAATAGCGATGAAAAGAAAAGAATAAATTCCACGTCAGCTGCGCCAGGTAAGCTGTCCCGTGGACCCACGGCCAGCCTCAAAAGGCCTTTCCTTTGACCTTCGCCTTGATGGTGCTATTCCGAGGCGAGATCTACTCAGTAGTATGAGTCAAACCTTCCTCTGCTCTTAGTAGTATCAGTCAAACCTGAATCGACTCTAATCTTCACCGCTGCTCGTCGCCTGTTACAGTCTCTCCCTCTCTCTCTAAGTCACATCGCCTTCCGTTGCGCGGAACAGCTTACCGCATGGTATCCCCTCACCGCCAATGCCTTCCTTTTTTAACGGCCGTCTCGTCTCACAAGCTCGCATCTTTTTATCCGCGTACAACAACACCAACAACAACGAATTAGCGAGGGGAGAAGCGCCGCGCCCCAACCCTAATCCAGGACTCTTCCGTTGCCGGAGCTCCGATTCACCCCCCGCCGATACCGCCCGGGGTTCCCCTCCTATCTTCCCTCCGGGTGACGGCGGCGGCGGCGGCGGCGGCGGTGATGAGCTGAGCCATGGGCTGTATCCTCGCCAAAGAGGCCTCCCCCTCGCCCAACCGCTCCTCCCTCGGCCAGCGGCGGCGGGAGAAGGTGGGCACTGCCGCTCCCGTTGGATCCGGTAGCAAGTCCCAGGCCTCCCTCTCCAGGATAGAGACCGCCGTTGATGCCGCCCCGACCAACACCACCGCCACCGTCGCAGAGGTTCCCGATCGACAGGAGGACGCGAAACGGCCGGAGGGACAACCTCCGGGGCGGCGCAGGCGGCAGAGGCTCGAGCCCAGGCTTAGCAAACCTCCTGGCCACGTCCACGGCGAGCAGGTGGCCGCAGGGTGGCCCTCCTGGCTCTCCAATGTTGCCGGGGAGGCCATCAATGGATGGACGCCCCGCCGTGCTGACACCTTTGAGAAGATCGACAAGGCAAGCTTCCACCTTTAGTTCGGCATTCACCAGTTGCTGCCTGTTGTAGTGGCCTTTGCATCTATAACCGAGTTTGTTGTTATTGTTGTTGTTGGTGATTTAGATCGGTCAAGGGACCTACAGTAATGTTTACAAGGCTAGGGACATGTTGACGGGCAAAATCGTGGCTTTGAAGAAGGTCAGATTTGATAATATGGAGCCAGAGAGTGTGAAATTTATGGCAAGAGAGATCCTTATTCTACGGCGGTTGGATCACCCCAATGTGGTGAAACTGGAAGGTTTAGTGACATCCAGAATGTCTTGTAGCTTATATTTAGTGTTCGAGTATATGGAGCATGACCTTGCTGGTCTTGCTGCGAGTCCCACGATCAAGTTTACCGAGCCTCAGGTTAGATTTTCATGACATATCCAGTTTATTCACCTCTTCAAAGTATGATCTTTCTTGAGATGTATATCTAACATTGTGTTTGAGCAGGTGAAGTGTTATATGCGGCAGTTATTGTTAGGATTGGAGCACTGTCACAATAATGGTGTGCTACATCGAGACATTAAGGGTTCTAATCTCCTAATTGATAATGAGGGGTTACTTAAGATTGCGGACTTTGGCTTGGCTACAACTTTTGATCCTGACCACAAGCAACCGATGACTAGCCGGGTGGTTACTCTTTGGTACCGAGCACCAGAGCTTCTCTTGGGAGCCACTGACTATGGTGTGGGTATAGATCTTTGGAGTGCAGGCTGCATTTTAGCAGAGTTGTTGGCCAGAAAGCCTATTATGCCTGGGAGGACCGAGGTAACATGTCTTGTTAACTCTATGGTGTACAATATCCAAAATTTCCACACTGTAAATAGACCCACAACCTCTGATGAAGTTGGAAACCATAAAATGTGTTGATTGTTTCCACCTTTCCTAACCTTTTGCTGAATATCATTGCTGCTCTAGAAAGATAATTAATATTGGAAACATATAATATACTGTATCAGAAATTAAGATGTATTATTCACACACATAACAATAAATGATTTAGCTCTATTGTGTTAAAAGATGCATGTATGGAAGTGATAATATACATCATGATGCTCGATGATGACAAATAATATAAAAGGAAGAAGACCACACAACAGATATCCTCATGAGAGTATATTTCTTGTATGGCATCTGCTGAAATCAGCTTTGTAATAGTTTTACTAAAAGAAGGTCTGATAATGATAAACAGATATGTGCTTGGGGAAAAAGTCCTGGAAAATTTAGAATGGTTGACATAAGAAAGGCACCAGGTGTAGGTGTTATGGAGGTGCTCAATGCAGTTTTGATGGTAAGATTCTGAAAGTAGTTCAAGTTGATAATTGGTTTATATTTTGAGAAGAGGAAATGCAGACAACACAATTGATAAGGCATGCTGTAAGATTGAGGTCAGTTAGATACGTCTGATTGTTGCCCAAGCCTCTAAAATAGTTTAGGTTTAGGTTACAATAGAAAGGAGAATACACACACTTCATTGCAGCTTGACTAAGCTGCAATGAACATAGCATGAAATATGTGGACAGATGCTACAAGGATTTGTCAATATACAAGGCAATGAAAGACAAGGAATCAGTGGAAGTACATCCTCAAAGAATGATGTCTAGCTTATACTTGTGAACAATGGATTCAGTTTAAATATCACTTTATGCAAA